TGTTTTCGTTGAAATTTCGCCTCGAAAAGGCTGATAAACGAAAGCAGTTGCTCGAAACAGCTGCGCCCAGGTCACAAACGCAAACCAGATTGTTCCGCATAAACGACGATTCAGTTATATGTGAAAACCGCATTTACAAACTTGACTCCATTGGTTTCTTGATTATGCACAGTAACGACATACGCCTGTAGCTGTCTGGCCTCTCCGGAGGTTTTCTTGGTTTCAGAAGGACGATGAGTGCCACGCGGCTGGGAGGGAGAGTTTGTTTTGTTGTGCAGACCGCTGTGACAAGAGAAGCTAGCTGCTGCCGGTCATTTGGACGCAAGTTCTTAAGAAATTTCTAGAACGTTCTGTCGACGTCAGCATCATTGCTGTTCTTCGTGAACGGCAGCGGCGCATTATTTTTCTCTAGTATGCTCGAGATGGGAGGGCTTGTTCGAAAGGAAGTGCTAGTGTTTTGAAAATATTCCTTTTGAAGGGCCTCCCATGGGAGCTAGTGCCCCTCACTGTCGGTATTTCAGAGTCTGACGGAGGTAAACCCCAACCGCATCAACGAAAACTTTCGCAGCGCGGTGCTTTGTAGGTTTTGCTGCGCCAGGAAGACGGGACATTCCCATTCCTTGCGGTTCGAGCGTTTGGGAAGGTTCTGCTGTCATGCATTCAAAGATTCAAGGAGAGCAATTGCAATTTCAATGGATTTTGGGTTTCAGCTTTGTAAAGGTCGTTTGACTTCTTTGGTCGGAAAAATGTGTAGGTGATCTTGTACCCACGAAAGATATTTGTGAAACATCAGAAGTAAATGTTCGTACTAAATTTCCGGTAGACTGACACGTTTTTATCACCTGTAGGAAGCGATCTTCGAGTTCGGCATTGTCCGATAGCCAATTTGCTTTTCGAACGTTCCAGCACGATAGCAATGCGAGTTAAATGACTTGTTCCTGACGAATATATGCGCCGGATTCAGTGCAGTAAAGGCGCAGAATCAGGAGTTGCCAGTGCTGTTCTTCGACAAGAAACCTCTGAGGAGCGTGTAAAGTCAATTGGTTTTTGTGAGAAAACGCGACGTCCAAAAACTAAGTTACGATGCCCAACGGTAAAGACCTCAATACATCGACACAAAGTTGTAATCATGAATTACTGCAGAGCCTACCAACGATGGTTGGAGGTAGAAGCAGAGGAGTTGGAAAAACCCGCAGTTGCAAGAAACTGGAAGGCGTTGCACGGACCCATAGCGACTGTTAGTGGCATTGGCGGAAATTGGCAATGTTTTCAAACCGGCTGCGCAGCAAGAACGGACCACTGCGCGGTGGCGCCTGCCGTTGGGAACAGTGGGAGTGGATTGAAAATTTCGCGCAGCCTACTGCATTGACCCAGTTGTACTGAAAAAGAATTCTCGAAATGCGTCTCGTCTTCGGGCAAACCGTTTACTGGCGTTGACCTTTACAGTCACTGAACATATTTAACTTTATGAAGGTCTTTTAGGTACAGGCTGAAACTTTATTGTCGGTTTATCTCCGATGGACCACTGTGTTGCTCGATGTATCAATAAACTGCTACATTAGCTCTAGAATCTTTCAACTTGTCTGGGTTGTAGCGGAGTTTTACTGCTTTGACCATCTTCGTTCTTACTATTTTTAGTATCTTTGCTAACGCGGAAATCAGATATTCCAAAAGATAATTTTGCTTGAATTTTCTTGTGTTCTTGTTTTAGTTATGAAATATCATGTTCGCTTTACAACTCAGGTCAACAGGCTGGAACGAATTCTCCGAAGCGCGGTTATGCATCGTAATTATTTTAGTCTTTCATTGTTTTTTAATTTAACGTTTCAGTTTAGGAACACTGTTACAAAATATCTGTTCGATAACCTTGATGATAATTCATTTTCTTCTTACAAAGATGATTTACCCTTCAACCGAGTGTACAATTCAAACGAGAATTCTGCACATTCTTTATTGAACCATTCGCCATTGTACCGTCCAGGATATTTTGGTTCTCAATCGTTTCTTAGTTCATGGTTTGCGGATTTGGATAAAGTACATTGTAGTTTAAAATGTTTAGTTCAAACTTCTTTTCTGTTCGTGCTGCAGGAGTCTTCTACGTATATTTTCTCTCCTCCTGAAATGGACATGTCTAAGTCTTCCAGCAACCTGTCTCTTTTGAACTGTAGTTCTCCAGAGTCGTACATAGTAAGAGTCGTACTTGACCATTCGTTGCAACCGGACGGTTATGAGACTGTTTACAAGTGTGTGAAGGTTTGCAGTGCCGCGCGGAATATCAATTTTTTGATTTGTCTTTTAGCTAGAGAACAGTGATAAAACAAGAACATTGGTGCTGAAGGCGATGTCGAAACATAATATTTCCGGCGATCCGAATGATTACTGTATTTCGCAGCTTTTGCCTGATGGAGGTATTGACGTTACGACGTTCTTGCTGCACTTCTGTAAGGTCGCTAAGGTCTTATCGAAAGTTTAGTTGTTTCCTTCTAACATTGCACCAGTAGAAAATCACGCTAGTAAAACGTATGTAATTGTAATGTTAGTATAGTAGTAGTTGTACCATTCGGTTGCTCTTAATCTTCATGGTTGACCCGAAATGATTTACCCCTAGTAGCCTACCGAACTGAAATAACGTTTTTCAGTTATGCTTGAAAATGCAGTAAGGCCTTTAGGTAGTAGCTGTCCATTCTGATTGAGAGCTATTTCCTTTGTTTTGTTTGTATACTACAGATTTTTAAATTTTTTGTTGGTTAAGTTGATGTTTCTTGATGTGATTTCAGGCTTCAGTGTTGCATGAGTATGGAGCGGAAACTTAGTCGCGCCATCACATCCTTATACCACTGCTCAGAGGCCCATGTTCAGGTTGTCGGCAGGAAATCGACACCGTTTAAAGAGCGTGCTGAACTCCACGAAGGGCATATTGTTCCATTCTCTTTTTTACGTAATTTGATGGATTGAATTAGTAGACAGGGCTTGAGCACAGAGAACATCACATTTGTGAATGTTGAACTGAAACAGCTGTTGGTTGGCTTCTAACATGCACTTGATAGTTCACGTTCACATGCAACGGGACCGAAATACAGACGAGGCATTTGTACATTCGAATAAAGCTACTCCTTATGCTCTATAAGTAGGTGAGTGCAGTCCAGGTTAGCGAGTAAATTTAAGCTTTTCAGAGTAAAAGTGGCGACAGATAGAATTGGGTAATAAATACACCAATCGGTCAGGCGAGCGCAGTAATGCGCAACTTAAAACGGTCTATGTTGATAAAGGAGGAAATATGCATTAGGGCAAAGTTACCTATTTTCAAGTTCGTCTGTGCACATGTCATCCCTATGGTAATGAATGCTGAATAGTGTTTTGCAGAAAGAATCCAGTCGCTGGAAAGTATCAGATATGAGATTTCTTGCACAGGCAACAAGACCTGTTTCTTGAACGTATGAAATCACATCTGTACTGAGTTTTTTTGCAGAGTTGCAGAATTTTCTTTGCAGAGTTACATAACACCACGACCGGAAAGGAGAAGCGGTCATGAAAGATGAAGATGAGTTGCATAACAAGGAAGGAGGGAAACTTAATGCTAAATGGCTAAGGTGTATTGAAGCCTTCGCTTTCTCACACGTTGAAATCCAGTTCGTACAGCTTGTCTGATTGGCAAATGACCAGTACCATTAAAAGAGTATTCTGAG